TCATCATCATCATCATCATCATCATCATCATCATCATCATCATCATCATCATCATCATCATCATCATCATCATCATCATCATCATCATCATCATCATCATCATCATCATCATCATCATCATCATCATCATCATCATCATCATCATCATCATCATCATCATCATCATCATCATCATCATCATCATCATCATCATCATCATCATCATCATCATCATCATCATCATCATCATCATCATCATCATCATCATCATCATCATCATCATCATCATCATCATCATCATCATCATCATCATCATCATCATCATCATCATCATCATCATATTCTTCTGCAATGCTTGTAGGACTAAAATCAAACTCAAATAGAGATTTAGTTTCAGCAAAGGAGGAGCATTTAGATTCAATATCATCATCATATGAGTATTCTTTACCGCTTTTCTCCTCCATCGCTTCCTATTAAGCCTATTCACAAAACCCAACTACATTTAAGACCCTATATATATGTATATTGAACCTATCGATCATCATCATCATCGACGAAGGTCCAGATCATCTTCACCAGCCTCATCCAATGGCGGCAGGACATTAAGATCAAAATCCATCACCTTGTGAATCGACGATGAAGCGATGTCTCCATCTCCATCATCGACAACCGAAGACGACGAGTCGCAGTCGCTGCGACAGTCGTCGGGCAGAACGGGCGGCGTCCGGGGGTACCGCCGGGAAGAAGACGGCGGAAGAACGGCCGTCTGCGGCGGCTTGGGGCCACAGGAAGACTCGACGGTGCTACTCAAGCTGCTTGAGGTAGGCCTCTGGGGGATAATCTGGTGGTGCGGAGGGTACAATCTTTGATCGATCAACGGATTGTTGATTTCCTGATACGGAATCATCGGAGCGAGAGACAGTGAGGCGATAGGGAAATTGGTCTTGGCCTTGGCTCCACGGAGGCTCCGAGCAGCGGCGTCGTAAGCGCGTGCCGCGTCCTCGGCGGAATCGAAGGTCCCGAGCCAAACCCTAGCCTTCTTCCCCAGGGTCTCTTTCTCACACCGCGAACCCTAATCTCCTTCGCTGGGCTTCTCGATCCAGATCCGTTGGGTACTCCGGCAGTCATAGCTGGTTTCGCCGCCGTCGTCGGGGCGGCCTTGGCCGCCGCGGTTGCTCTGACTCTCCGCATGGCCGATGAGAGAGATCTCTAGAGAGAGAAAGAAAAACAAGAGAGAGAGAGAGAGAGAAGGGAGGAAGGATCAGTATATGTGAAATCTGTCTTCAGAGAAACCGTCTCTTATTGAGATGAGGTGAGGAGGAAGAGGAGTAGAAGATGATAAATCTTCTCTCTTTCTCTCTCTCTCTACATTAACTTTCTCTTTCCATATGTGTCTTTCTTTCTTTGTTTCTCTCTCATGCAACAAAAAAAATCAACGAGAGAGAGAGAGAGAGAGACAGAGATTGAGAGAGAGAGTTTACCTGTGAGTAGATCGGCTGTGCGATGATGATCGGTGCGATGAGATGAACAACGAGAGAGTGAGAGGGTGATCGGTGTAGAAACGAGAGAGTAAGAGAGACAGTGATGTTGAGATTAGGGATTTTGGTTTTGCGCCCGGGGGTGAGGGGGATGGCAAAAAAAAAAGCGGGAATGAAAAAAAAAGAGAGGGAAACGGGGAGTGGATAAAAAAAATTAAAATCTTTTTTTTTTTGGGGTCACAAATAAAATTTAAACAATAAAATAATACCGTTTAATTCTTCTTCTTTTTTTTGACGCGGGTTGCTGTCGTTAAAAAAAATTATTTTTTGTTAAAATAATTTTTTTTTGTAGTTAATGAAAAAAAATTCATTTTTTTTTTAGTTACTAAGATTGAAAATTTATTTGCTTCATTTTTATTTTAATTAAAAAAAATATTATTATTATTTTTTATTTGGTAGAAGTAGGGGTAATATTTTAATGAAAAATATTTTCCACTAAAATAAAAGTTTATTTTCTGTGGTCAATGAAAAATATTTTTCTACGGCCTACTTTTTTGGTTAGTAAAAATCATGAACTATTTTTTTGTGGTAAAGGAAAGGGAGCGACATTAATGGTGGATAATGCCAAAGGCCTCCTCCTACGGTCAGCATAACTCTTTTGACGACTCTGGGCTGTAACAAGTCTCTTACGGATAAGTTTAACTTTCTCCATCATCTCCCGAACCAACTCCACGCCCAACAAAGGTGCATCACCCACCTCGGCCCAACAAACTGGAGACCTCAACGGTTGGCCATACAAGGCCTCAAACGGTGCCATACCAATACTCGATTGGAAACTATTATTGTAGGCAAACTCCACCAAGGGTAAATTCCTCTCCCACGACCCACTAAAGTCAAGGACACAACCTCGAAGCATATCCTCAAGGATCTGAATAGTACGCTCGGACTGCCCGTCAGTCTGAGGATGATAAGCCATGCTAAAGGTCAATCTAGTGCCCAAGGCACTCTGCAAACTCTGCCACAACCTAGCAGTAAAACATGGATCTCTGTCTGAGACGATCGACACTAGGACCCCGTGCAACCTCATTATGTCCCGAACATACAAGTCGGCAAGATGATCTACCGAATCTCTCACGCGCATAGGGATAAAGTGCGCCGACTTAGTTAACCGGTCTACAACCACCCAAATAGTATCGCTACCCCGCTAAGTCCTCGGAAGACCTACAATGAAGTCCATAGTGACATGCTCCCACTTCCACTCGACTATAGGCAAGGGTTATAGCAAACCCGCTGGCCTCTGATGCTCGGCCTTCACTTGCTGACACGTAAGGCACTTCGATACGAAAACTGCCACATCCTTCTTCATACCCCACCACCAAAACTGGCGACCCAAATCACGATACATCTTAGTGCCTCCCGGATGCACCGCAAGGCATGAATGGTGAAACTCTCGAAGTACCTCCTCTCGACAAGACTCCAGTACAAACAAACGGTCTCGGTATCTCACACTCAGGTCAGGATACACAGTCAAACCCTTCTCAACCTTGCCATTGGAGATCTTCTCCCGGAGGGATTCTACCTTAAGATCACCTCTCTGTGCCTCTAACACTCAATTCACAAGTGTAGGCTACGCAACTACCGAAAACAAAGCCGCAGACTCAACAGATTCACCGAGAAGCAAATCAAACTCGCCAAGTGCACCCAACATCTCCCACTCCCGGATGGCTATACAAGCTACATCACTAATGGATTTCCTGCTAAGGGCATCGGCCACAACATTGGCCTTCCCCGGATGGTAGTGCAGCTCAAAGTCGTAATCCTCAATAAATTCCATCCACCTTCTCGGCCTCAAGTTCAAGTCTTTCTGTGTAAACAAATACTTCAGACTCTTATGATCCGAGAACACCTCGAATCTCTCACCATACAGGTAGTGCCTTCAAATCTTCAAGGTAAAAATCACAGCTGCTGACTCTAGGTCATGTGTAGGATAATTCCTCTCATGTATTTTCAACTGCTACGAGCCATAGGCTACCACTTTCCCCTCTTGCATCAACACACAACCCAAATCCTCTCGCGAGGCATCACAATAAACCGCATAGCCCAAACCTCTTTTCGGAATAATCAAAATCGGAGCGGTGGTAAGTCTAACTTTCAACTCTTGGAACGACCTTTCACAAGTCTCACTCCACACAAACTTGACCCATTTCCGCGTCAATCTAGTCAATGGCGAAGCTAGCCTGGAGAAATCCTTCACAAATCCGCGATAATACCCAGCTAATCCCAGAAAACTGCGGATCTCAAAAACACTCTTAGGCTGTGCCCAACCTGTACTGCCTCTATCTTGGATGTATCAACAGACACCCCTTCCCCGGAGACTACATGGCCTAAGAATTTAACCTCTCTTAGCCAAAACTCACACTTCCCAAACTTAGCATACAGTCTATGGGCTCTAAGCAACTCAAGCACCACTCTCAAGTGTTCCTCGTGCTCTTCCTCAGAAGGTGAATAAATCAGAATGTGTCCACAAAGACAACTACAAAACGATTTAAGAATTCCTGGAATATCCGGTTCATCAAATCCATAAACACTGCCGGTGCATTGGTGAGCCCAAAAGGCATCACCAGAAACTCATAGTGGCCATAGCGCATACAGAATGTCTTCTTCTAAATATCCTCCTCTCTGACTCTCAACTGATAGTAACCCGATCTCAAGTCTATCTTAGAGAAACAACGGGACCCCTTCAACTGGTCAAACAGATCATCTATACGGGGCATAGGGTATTTGTTCTTAACCGTAGCCCAATTCAATTTTCGGTAATCGATACAAAATCTCAAAGCCCCATCTTTCTTCTTAGCAAAGAGGGCTGGTGCTCCCCACGGCGAAGTACTAGGGTGAATAAAGCCCTTATCTAGTAACTCCTGGAGTTGAATCTTCAACTCACTCAATTCGGCTGGGGCAAAACGGTAAGGTGCCATAGAAATCGGTGCCATGCCAGGCACTAAGTCAATAGAGAACTCGATCTCTCGATGAGGTGGTAAACTAACAAGATCCTCGGGAAAGACGTCCGAGTACTCACAAACCACTCTGGGTAACTCAATCTGGATCTCATCACACTCACTACTCATAAAGCTAGCAATAAGACAACTAAGCTCACTCCGCCCTCACGGATCATACACCGGTGGCAACACACTATCAACCCGATCCCCCAAGAAATGGAAACAATCCCCACTCAAGGTACATACAGTGACCCTCTGGCGGTAACAATCAATAATAGCTCGGTATGACGATAACCAATCCATACCCAAAATCACATCAAAACCCGACATAGCCATAACTACAAAAGAAAATGGAAGCGCTCCAAAACAGATGCAAATGCAGCAGACACAAAGGAATGAGATGCACCCGTATCAATCAAAACATTAGCAACCGAATTGCAAAACAAGAAGGTACCTCTCACAACTGATGGAGTCGGTACAAGATCCTGCGCGGTAACAACATACACACTTCCTGAAGGTCTCTGATCTACCTGCTCACCTCTCGAAGCAAAAGGCTACTGCACAGACTGAGACGATGAGGCTCCCTGATTGGCCCTCGAGGCCTGAACAGACTGAGCTGGCTGATAACTCTGCCTCGACCCAGATGCACCACTCAACTGCAGGCAAAACCTCTTTAGGTGCCCCGCCTGACCACACTGATAACATGAAAGCGGCTGGCCTCTGCCCTGACTCTGGCTTTGAGGACGAGCCGAAGAAGAAGCTGATCTCTGACCTCCTCCCCTCTACGGGCAAGCTGGAGACTTGTGGCCCAGTTGACCACACTTGTAACAGGTAAAGTCTCCCTAACCGCCTCTCCCAGAACCTGAACTCAGCACTGGAAAGGTAGATCTCACAAAAGCACCCTAGGACTAATGAGGGTTAGAACCTCTCTGCCTCCTACCATCCCCCTAGCCATCCTGACTCCTCTTGGTGCCCCTCATCCTCTCCTTCTCCTCATGCATGATAATCTCCATATGGGCTGCAGCATCCGCAAGGCACCCATACTCCCGGGTCATGGACCCCGCAACTCTCATCTTGAGCCCATGCCTCAACTTCTTTTCAAACTCAAGACAACGGTGTTCCTCAGACGCCACTAGCTCAGGTGCAAACCTGGTTAAACTGGTAAATGCGGCCTCAAACTCGGCCACTGGCATACTCAGCTGATTGAGCTGACAGAACTGATCTCTCAACTTCTCCCTAACAGTTGGAGACAGAAACTTCTCCTGGAAAGCATCTACAAAGGCCTCCCATGTGCCACCAATACGTCCTCGAACAAACTTCCACCACTGACCCGCATCTCCCTTCAACTGGAAAGATGCCAAGGTCACCTTCAATGCCCCGTCCAAGTCAACACTTGGGTTTAACAAAAATAGAGTTCTAACTCTTTACACAAAATAAGCCCATGGCTTGATATACATGTAATATACAAAAGAGACAATAAAAAGAGTTATCAGCCTCAAGCCTCCCAAGCTACTTCCTTGGAGGTCGCATATCACCTGAACCTGAAAATGATGTCCCATATAGGGTGAGCCAACGCCCAGTAGAGATATGCCAAATATAATTTGAGCAATAACTAAAACATTAGCATTTGATAAATGTTTAACCAATATAAGCCAACATACAGCACAACCTAATTTCATAACAGGTATGTCCATGTTTCATTCCATTTTTCCTTTACTTAACAATTTCAATTTATAAACATGGCTCAGAACCTGGCCAAACAATTCCCATGAGACTACGGCTCATGTTAAAAAAAACCTTTCCAATATCAGACACAATTAGATGCCAAAACAGATTCAATAACAGACACAATTTGAATTCCACAATTAGAGACCAAAATTATTCCATCTATTTTTTCTGATTTCAGATTTAATAACAGACACAACACAATTAATAAAACAAAGAGATTCAACTAAGACACAAC